AAACGGACGACCGTTTCTGACGCTCGTATTCATTCATTTGCTGAGCAAATTATGAAGCAAAGGGATTGGTATGAAGCGGCGGTGATGCTGCATGCATATATGGGTACACTATGCAAGCCGTAATTCGTAGCGGTGATTGGCAAGATGCGTACGGGAAACTCGTCCGAAATCGATTTACAAGTCTGAGAACGGAGGCTTTTTCTTCGCAGGATTTTGACCGTTTCACTCCGTTCTTTCGCCATTTCCCCACTATACAGCGCCCTACTAGCATTTTAGGCTAAGTAGGAAACCATCGTGCCAACTGCCTTTAAAGAGGGTATCGTGTGGAAATAAGGGTATCACTACCCTTCACCCTTGTTTCCTCGCGCTCTTTAATGACGAAGGTGTTACACAGCTGTGTGGCGTGTGCGTTGATGCCGGTTTCTAACCGTTCTTCAGAAAACCTGTCAAACTAGCGATTTCAGAGCTTGCGTTTCCATGCCCTCATTTATTTTCATTTTCTGTCAAGGAAAATCTTTCCGTTCAGATTCCTGAATCATTCATGTGATCCAAATGTTCAAGTGCAGCATGTTTTCGTTGACACTCACGATCTCCGTTTACCATGGTCGTCGTTCTTCGCCATTCGAAATATTAAGGCCGGAGAGGTAAGGGGTTTTCATTTTCACAAATTCGTTAATTTTCTTATGTTGCCAGTAGGCGCGAGCGGAGCATTCGCCCCGAAAACTTGGATGTTTCAACGCGGAAGTGCTGCCTATGTCAAGTCGAACAGCTAGGAATATCGCTTTGTGCGCGTCGTCGCAGTGTGAATGCTCTAACCAATCCGCGATCGTGTGTACCCGTTTCTTGATTACCACGGAGTGGTTGTCGAATGCTGACGCGCGCTGTTGAGCAGCGGTCTGGTGAAACGGAGCTGGTATGTGCAATGGTAACTGTTGAAGAAGTGTATCATATTTCACACTGAGAAATTTAGATAGCTTTGATGGACCTAGAAAGCAGTTCACCCTCACTGAGGCACCGCTTAGACTTCGCGACGACGAGCCTTCGCGCGCATCGACGAGCTATCATTGAAGGCATCGCGCGTTCTGATGCAATGACTGGAACGCTTATCATAGGCAGATCGATGCGGCCGGCTATTAAGAGAATGGGGTTATCACTCAATATGGTACCGTCCTATGCTCTCATGGCTCTCTCAAGGCAGTAGCGGCCGGCACCGATCGACACCCGTCTATGGCTGCGTTCCTGTCAATAACACGGTGACTCGTGCAATGGACTGTGCCGAGCGGTGTCATCGCGAAGTCTGAACGTAGCTAAGCGCCTACTTTCAATTTAGCGACGTCCCGATCGCACACGCAACAGTACCTGTACGGTCCTAGTTTTTCTCAAAAAAAAGAAAAACCTGCTTGTTGCAGATGTGCTGAGATGTGCCATGGTACCGTCTCAGGACGCCCTCCTCTGCTACAAATTGAAAATGAGTTGGCAGCAATGAAGTAGGGCACCACATGACAGTTTTAACTTGCAGGCCAACATGGTCTGCGTAGAACTTTGCTCTACTATTCGTAGTGCATGATCCCGTGGAAATTCACATCGCTGTTGTTTTGCGTTCTTAACATCGCAGTCAGGGAGAAATAAAGGATAAAAGGATAAAGTCTTCGCCGTTGATCAATCCCTTTGTGGGATGCGGCACGCATTCTACTTCCATTCAGAATCGTAGTGGCTTATTGAATGCGATGTGGCCTATACAATGACTTGCGGTGGCCAGCCGATGTACAAGTCAGTGTTTTATCCTCCCAGACGAATCTGGTACCAATTCACCCCGGAGGGTAGAAGGCTTGGTTGGCCTGGGCGGGAGTCGACCCGGGATTCGAACCCGGGACCGCGCGAATGGTGAGCGCCCCACTTGTCCACTACACCATCTCCGCCCCGGGGAGAAGATATACTACCAAAAGCCCTGTTTCCGGGAAGACGAACAAGGCAGTCGTAGGTTGTCGCGTCGTCGCGTACTGGCGTTTATCGTGCGACCGAATGCGCACATACCTCGAGTGCCATGACTTCGTCGAGTCGCTGCCACGCCACCACCACCGTGGCATAATACGATTGTGTCTGTGACTTGACTTGTCGCTTCCCCTATATCTGTTGATTTTCAGGAATTGTGCTGGAATTATGGTTATTCGCCGGATGCACTTGACCCAGATCGACCACGTCATCGTCAGCTATTCTGCAAGTGCGGTGCTGTAACGTGTCGTGGGCGACTTCTGTAGGATTTTGCACCGATCAGTACCCATCTTTTTATGTTCCTGGAACAATTTCCGGTGCCAATCCACTTTTCCATTCAAAACGAATTTGTCATGATGTCGTTTGGTCAGTAGGGTTTGGTAGGGTTTGTAACTGCCATTTCAACAACTTTAGTTTCAATTGTATGTTACATTTAAATTTTTTCGTATTTCGTAATATCTCTTTTCCGAAAATCATACGGTCTTCTTTTTTTCAGTATTGCTGATGATCTCTTGAAGGCACAGTCCACGCTGGTCGTGTGGGCGGAGACAGACACCCATGACGCCTTCTTCATTGGTGCCCCCCTTTCCTCTATGGAAACATGGAGAAGCGGTGCGCCAATGAGGAAGCTGGAACGGGTGACTGCCTCTGCCTATACGATCAGCAACTGTACCTTTATATGAAATTTTCTGTTTCCAGCGAATCTGCTTTTAGTTTCTGAAGGCAGTCAATTTTGATGTAAGAAATTCTTGCCGTTTATTTTTCATTCAGTGTTGTTGAATTAATTATGGAATGAATTTTATTTATTGATTTCTCACCTAGTCCTTTGACTCGTCGTTTTGGCGAACGATATCAAGAAATGTTTGAAAAATAGAGTTTAGAGAGTGTTTCTGGAAGTTTCGTGTAATTTATTGAGTCGTAACGACAGACTGGCCGTTGTTCGGCTTAGAAGAGGCATTTGCACTTCCGCTAGTTCATATTAGCGAAGAAGTCTCGTTTTGATGAGACTAGTAAGTTGCCGTGAAGCTATCATATTGTGCGAATGAGCCCCTTTGGGGAGAGGGAATTACTGGGCTTTATAGAGTAACCTTACAAGCTTTGCTGTGTACCATTTTCCCCACCAAGCCGAACTACGCCGATTCTCCTAATATCTACTTTTGTGCATAAGTAGGTGCAGTATTCTTTTTTTTAATTGCCCTTGTCAAAGTCTCCCTTTCAGAACAATCAGCCCTCGGAGCTAGGGTCACCTCGTCTTGGGGGCATGTTCTCGCCAGAATTTCTCTTTTTTGGAGCTCTTTGGTAGTACTCTATAGTATTGAGTATGTTAGAGTGCACGGGGTACATCATAGGGAAAATCCTGCCAGGGGAGGTCGTATAATGCGGTGTCGGTGGGCAGGTTGTCGTAGCCGGACCGCGAAAGAAATTCCGGCGCAGCTCGACTCGATAGGCATTTTCCTGGCATTCATCGGTCACTGCTGATGTCTCTATAAGCATCAAATATTCAAATGCCCGGGTGAATTTGTAAACTCTTGTTAAGCTATGCAATAGCAGGAGTTTTGTTGACTTTTGACAAGAATTTGCCGGGTTCACAAACGTAAGTGTAAGTTTACAGGAGTTAACAGGAAAGAAACTAGCGGATAGTGAAGTGCCTCCTTCCAAGCCGAACAGCACCGATGTTTGTTCAACAAGAGGTTTTTCGATTTCTAGTCGTCGTCCTAACCCGCCCGGCGGAAGCCTTTTGAGAAAAAAGTGGTAAATTTTTGATAAGGAGTCAGAAGAATTTGGCAGAATAGTAGGTAGGCTGCGAGATGGGGTCGAATTGGCACCTTTTCTTTCCATCCCGATGTAGTACCGAGCCGGGCGAGACAGCCTCCATTGTCAGTGACTCACCCTGGCCGAAAGTACGCGTGAAAGTTGGAGACGGCTGGTGTGGCGCCCGCGTGATTGGCTGTGTGGGAGATACCGTATCGCCGCTGGCTACTTGTGCCAGTTTTCGACATGAAATTGTTCTCTAAATGGATATAGATCTCGGAAATCAAGATCGGAAGGCAGGCATAACTTATAGATGAATTTGACGGTGCGAGTTTCGGAAATTGAGAACCAAGCTAAAATAGACCCGTGAACAAGCCTGAGTATTGATTTGGTTCGGACATGAAGGCTAGACAAGGCAAGACATGTAAGATTAGTCATAAGAATCATGTTTTCTAACTTTTCGACTTTTTACACACATTAAGTCGTTAAAAAATCTTTAAATCTCTAAAAGTGGGCGTGGCCAAGGGGGCGGAGCACAGCCTGGATATTCAAAAAGTCACAAGTTTTGTGTATCATATCTGTCAAAGTGTCACTAAATTCGCATGTCGCGGTATAAAGTTATAAAGTGGCGAAATTTTCACAAAATCCAATTAATAAGTGGGCGGAGTCGTCGGGGGCGGAGTTGAAGTGTACTATTTGGTTATAGTGTTGTAAAGGGTCTATCTGTCAAAATAGATAAAACTGTGAAAAACTATTATAACATCTATATTAAGTGTAAAATATGTTTAAAGTGGATGTAGAATGTGTCGCGACAAAAAGGGGCGGAGTTATCTGGGGGCGGGGCATGTAATGTAGATGTAATGTAGTGTGGTGTGTGTAGAAAATGTCTGTGAAGGGCTCTTCGTGCAAAAGTTGCAAAAAGAGCCACTTCGAAGAAAGATTATAACTAAATGGACAATTACGACAATTTCCTGAATTTCCTATTTACATATTTGGTTAAAAAGCTGTAATCGGTTTCGTGGTAGAAGTGGGCTGCCTTCTACTGTCGTTTCCGCTGCTGACGCTGGGGCGTATCAGGCGGAGAGGGGTTGGGCTGGGCGCTGCGCTAGCCGGCTTTTCACTAATTGTTGTCGCTTGCCCTCACCAACCATTGGTGGACGACGAGCTGACGCTGCGCCAAACCCCTCCTTCCTGGAACGCTAGCGCCTGCGGCGTAGCTTCTGCAAATCATTCAGATGCAGCTATTTTTTCAGAGTATGCGACGATGTATCGTTGGAGTTCGTACATGTTTTCGGTATAACCGATTTACTAACCAGTTGCGACCATTCAGTGCGTCAGCGCTAAGGTCACAAGTCAGAGTCAAAAAGACCGCTGTTACTACCACCACTACTAATCCTGTTGTAGGTAAGTGATATACTAAACCAAATAAAGTTAATTCGGTTTGTTCTCTAAGAGATCGATCCGTAGGCTATGCAAGGGCTCCCATCGACTTTTCGCCTTTGAGAACACGTTACACGATGATCGGTTGGGCGGGGACTCAAAACTTTGTGCCTTATTAATTGGTGAAAAGTTCCGAATACTGTAAAAGCATTCAAACTTCGCGATCCGATCGCTTACATCGCGCCATCGGATCGCGAAGTATGAACTTGCTATATGCGATGCACCGAGGAAAAGGCCGATAGTTCAAATGTCTCCGCCTATTCGTTTATCGTGGACTGTGTCTATAGGTCCAGATTTTATTTCAGAAAGCCTCCGATATGAAAGGAAATCACCTATTGAACATATTCTCCTTCGACCCGATACCTATGTTGGTTCGACAGCTCTCGCCGAAGTCATGGTAATTGAATGACCTAATTACTTTATTGCTTTGGGGCTGTTCCCAATCTGGTTATGTGATGTTCAGGACGCGTGGGTGGTGTCGGAAGATGGGCGAAGTTGTGTGCAGATGCCCTTGACTTACTCTCCTGCTCTTTTGAAGATATTCGATGAGATTCTCGTGAACGCGGCTGATAATAAGCAGAGAGATTCCGAGATGAATGAGCTTCGCGTCGACGTAGATCAGTCAGTTTTTAGTTCAGAAATTTTTTTCAATTTCTTGATACTAGTCCACAGTTTTTGGAGAATATTGGAATGGTATGTTTGGGTAGGGAGGATGGCTGGGGGGAGGGGGCTCGAACTCTAGTCATCTACACTTCCTAAGGCTGAGAGTCTGTTGGAGTGAGGAGTTCACTCTCTTGGTATGAGGGGCAAACGAAAACTTGTCTACAAATTCCAACATTTTAGACATGATAGGTGACCTAATCACCTCGCGGTCTCCCGGCAGTGAAAAAGCTGGACCCCTGCCTCGCGACATGTTTTTTTTTTGCAAACAGCGACAGTCCTTTATTTTTCTGCGCTCTGGCGCTGAGCACTAAGGAAGTTCTAGCTGCCACGTAACCTGTCGTTCCTGCTCCCTCCCTCCCTCCCTCGCACCCCTCCCGTCTGCTACCGCTCCCTTCGCCTCCTTCCAAGCCACACTGTAGTTACGTCATGTTCCGCACTGATAGCATAAGATTACCCTTTCCTTTACTCCAGTGAAACTGAATGATTTGGGAGCGTTTATAAAGACCCAGTTTTCACAATAATGCTGAGTTAAGGGCAAAGCATTTGACTCGGGCCAAACTGCATCTTATGCCTATCGGGCTAGTGTGCTAATTGTCATACTACCGGGCCACTTTCCACCGATTCTGTTCCAAACTAGTCTTTTTTTTCTGATGGTGAGGTGTTGGCAATTCGCCATCTTCCTTCGCATGTAGCCGCGTTGGGTGTACAGTGATACCGGGTTCCATGGTTGCGACTGTTTATGAGCGGACATTGCTTGTGAATGTTTGACTTCACCGAAGAAACGTCATAACAGTGCATCAGGCAGACCTATAGAATAGTTTGTCGTTGACGGCTGGTTCTGGTACCGCAACGCTTCCGCACGCGTCCGCACCCGTCGAACGCCTTTTGTTAAGTTGTGAGGAACAGCATTTGTGTTTCTTTCAGATGTTCCTTCCAGATGCCATCCCTTCGAAGAAAATTGTATGATTATAATGAGTGCCACTTAAATTCACTTCTGTTCGGGTACAGTAGTTTCACTTAATTTTCACTGTTTCAGAAAGAAGGGGGAAATTTCTATATTTAACAATGGGCGCGGCCTACCAATAGAGGTGCATCCAATTGAAGGAATCTATGTTCCGACATTAATCTTTGGAAACTTATTCACCTCATCAAATTACAATGATAGAGAGGTGAAAGTCGTAGGTAAGTCCATCTGAAGATTGTTGACCAGCGCAGATTGAGCAGATTAGTGATTGATCACAGGTGGACGAAATGGCTACGGTGCAAAGTTGTGCAATATTTTTTCGACCGAGTTCATAGTGGAGACGTCATCCCAGCAAAGTGGTAAAGTATTCAGACAGGTAACGTTTCCACATTGCCAGGATGTTCCCTTGGGCTTCTACTCAGGGGCGGGAGCGAGGCTAATCTGCGCCTACTCTGGTCGTCTGTGCTTCTGACAAGGGTGAATCTGTTGGAGAAGGGATCACTCTGTCGGCGGGAGGAAGCAGACGAGCAGATCTAGTCACACTACCGCCTCCGCCTCATCTAGCACTGTTTTTCGCACGGGGTCGA